CAACAATAATATTATCTTATATCATCTCATAAACTAGAATCTTCAAGCTACAATTTAACATACATATCACATAAAAATTCTTAAAAATACAGTCGATATGATTTTTTAAAAATTTTGCTCTATTTTTTATTTATAAATTTGACAATTTCTTCTTTAATATTTTTTTTTTGGAAATTTCAATAATATTATCATATAATTTTTACATCATATCATAGACTAGAATTTTTAAGCTTCAATTTAACATACATATCATATCAAGATTCTCAAAAATGCAGTCGAAATGATTTTTTTATAACTTCGCATTATTTTTGATTAAAAAATTTGACAATTTCTTCTTTAATAATTTTTTCATGGGAATTTCAATAATATTACCTTATAATTTTTACATCATATCATAAACTAGAATCATTAAGTTACAATTTAACATACATATCATATCAAGATTCTTAAAAATGCAAATAGTATAATATTTTGAAAATTTCGCATTATGTTTGATTCAAAGATTTGACAATTTCTTCTTTAATAATTTTTTTCTGACAATTTCAATAATATTACCTTATAATTTTTACATCATACCTTAAAGTAGAATCTTCAAGGTACAATTTAACATACATATCACATAAAAATTCTTAAAAATACAGTCGATATAATTTTTTAAAAATTTTGCTCTATTTTTGATTTATAAATTTGACAATTTCTTCTTTAAGAATTTTTACTGAAAATTTCAATAATATTATCATATAATTTTTACATCATATCATAAATTAGAATTTTTAAACTTCAATTTAACATACATATCACATCAAGATTCTTAAAAATACTGTCGATATGATTTTTTGAAAATTTCGCGTTATCTTTAATAATTTTTTTTTGGACATTTCGATAATATAATCTCATAATATTTACATCATATCATAAATTAGAATCATTAAGCTACAATTTAACACATATATCATATCAAGATTCTTCAAAACACAGTCGATATGATTTTTTGGAAATTTCGCGTTATTTTTAATTTATAAATTTGACAATTTCTTGTTTAATTAATTTTTCCTGGAAATTTCAATAATATTATCTTATAATTTTTACATCGTATCATAAACTAGAATCATTAAGCTATAATTTAACATACATATCACATACAAATTCTTAAAAATACAGTCGATATGATTTTTTAAAAATTTTGCTCTATTTTTTATTTATAAATTTGACAATTTCTTCTTTAATATTTTTTTTCTGGAAATTTCAATAATATTATCATATAATTTTTACATCATATCATAAACTAGAATTTTTAANCGTTGTTAAGGTTGATCATAACTCAAAAACTAAAGGCGATGGGGAATAATGTTTAGGATATGAATTGTTTATATTGAACCAAAAAGACATAATCCATAACGGGGTTCAAATTAATTGTAACTATATTATGGTTACAAAATGGAAATGGCCAAAATATCAAAATTGAGTATTTTTGTTATTATGATTGATCATAACTCAAAAACTAAATTGATGGAGAAAAATGTTTTGCATATAAATTGTTTATATTGAACCAAAAAGACATAATCCATAATTAGATTCAGCTTAATTATAACTACGTTATGTTTACAAAGTGGAAATCACCAAATACTAAAATTGAATGTTTTTGTTATTAAATTCGAACATAACTCAAAAATTAAAGGCGATGGGGAATAATTTTTAGGATATGAATTGTTTATATTGAACCAAAAAGACATAATCCATAACCTGGTTCAAATTAATTGTAACTATATTATGGATACAAAGTGGAAATGGCCAAAATATCAAAATTGAGTGTTCTTGGTACTCTGTTGGAAATAATTCACGAGTACACCCTGCATAATCTGAACGCGTGTGTCTAGCGTAATGAAATTTGGTATGGAATTTGGTACCTCCATGTGAAGGTAGTGTAACTTACCTTCACATGGAGAGCGATGCAACTCTGCTGGGTGGGTATACATCAATAGCGAGAGTATCCCCCAAAGATGTTCGATCGGATTCAAATCCTGAGAACGAGCTGGCCATGGAAGTATTCGTATACGGTGCTCTTCCACAAAGGTCTGTACAACTCATCACGTCTCCGACCTACCAAAATTCGCACGTATCCGGTGCTCAATCAAATCTTGATTCGTCGGAAAACAAAATGTCCCTCCACCAATCTGTGGTGCTCGAATGTTAGTGTGCATACCCATAACCATTCCTCCCTCAAACTCGCTTAAGTGACGCGATCGCCCTTCCATCGCGCACAGAGCAGCACAGAGTACGACAACAAACTGGTCCCTCACACCACACTAAAAACGACAGGTATATCCCACCCACTTCAGTCCCCATAGCGACGGAATGTTCCACTTGGAAGGGCGGAAAAACTCGAAACTCGCTGAACAAACTCGTCTAGAAATATTATCGATTTATCTTCACGCGTTCAGATTATATAGGGTGTGCTCGTGAATTATTTCCAACAGTGTATTACGATCATAACTCAAAAACTAAAGGCGATGGAGAAAAATGTTAATAATAAAGACCGAGCAGAAGGCATATTATGAATCATCTTTTAAAAATAAAAGTTCCAGGGATCTCTGGAAATCACTAAGACATCTGAATGTTACCAAATTAAAATAGGAGGCATTAATAATAATTTTTTACAAGCTGCTGAAAACTCAATGATCGCTGATCCCGACTTAATTCAGGCTTACACTACCACGGAAAAGTCTACCTTTAATGAATTGTTAAATATCAAGCCTGGCAGTGTGGGATATGATGAACTCTCGGTTGTTATGATACGTTAGTGTTGTCCTTTCACACATCACACATCTTATTAATATATGCTTGTCGAGGTCAATCCTTCCAAAATGTTGAAAGAAATCTTTAGTAACACCTTTGCCAAAGATTAAAAATCCTATGACATTTTCGGACCTACTACCAATCAGTATTTTACCTGTTTTGTCTAAAGTATTAGAAAAAAATATGAATGATCAAATTTTCTGCCTAGGACACAGTTTGGATTTCGTGCTAGACTACAGTAGGGCCTTTGATATGTCAATTATAGGATGTTATCAACTATCTTATCCTTCATTGGGTTTAATGATTCTGCTATGAGCATGATTGATAGTTATGTGTTAGGCAGACAACAAGTCGTTAAATTGGGTGATCGGAGATCTGAACTGCGAGGCTTGAAGTTAGGAGTGCCACAGGGTTCTATCTTGGGGCATCTCCTGTTTTGTATCTACACTTCTAATCTTTCGACAGTTTTGAAATATTCAGACACAATCTTCTTTTTGTTTTTATTCTTAAATAAATAATTAAAATAAAATAACTGTTTTAATAATAAATTTCGTTTATTTCATTACTTAAAAATAATAACACTATAAACTACAAAAATAACGCCTCTTAAAAAAAGATAACTTAACATTAAAAAATAACTATTCTTCACCTTCTTTTTCATCATTTTTGATTTCATTTCGTTTCTCCTTCTCTAAATTATCAATTTTTTTAATCACTTTGTTTATGGTGTTATCGTATATAATCTCATCAGTTTCATCAGGAATTAAATTTTTGTTCAAGATATCTTCGGACACAGGATTACTAGCACTTTTTGTTAATTTCGATAAACTCGACGGTTTGTAATCGTACAATTTCGTGCTGTTATTTCTGCTAAGATATCCGGTGGAATTTTTGAATTGAGGATTCGAATTTCTGTTGTTAACCTCCATCGTGGATTTGATCAAATCAACTTTAGACGCGCTTCCTCGGAATTTGATCGCTCCGGAACTACTTCTTCTCACAACGCTGCTGCTTCTGGTTCTTCCTAAGGAAGTTAAAGAGCCGATTTGGTTGTACTCGATCATTAAACTTAATCGTTCCATGGACACCATGGTTCCTTGGTCTTTAAATTTAGGTTCGGGGTCTTTTAACCGCTCGGTTTCTTCTTCTTCTTCTTCGTCGATTTCGTCGAATTTCCTCAACCAAAGGAAGTGCAAAACTGCGTAACTTAATCCGGAAATCATAGCCCCGAGTCCCATGTATCTAAATGCTTGGCGTATTCCAACCAATTCGATGAGTTGACCCCCGAAAAATGTTCCACTTCCCTTTCCAATGCTGAAATGGGCCATCCCAGCTACTCCTATTAAGGTTGCCAATAAACTTTTTGGCGCTAATATTGCGCAATATGTTGCAGCTGCTACCCACATAAGATGAACAGAAAGGGATTCCATTGCTTCGAAAGGAAAGCACCACCAAGGATTGCTAAAAACAATTTACATCAAGTATGCAACCAATATCACAGTACGCGTATTGAAATACGCGATTTGCGTATTTGGTTGCATACTGTATAAATTTAAGTTTCTTACTCAATTAATGAATATCCCATTAATCTTCCTGCGTGGGCAAAAAACGCAATAATGACAACATTAACATGTCCAACTTTCTTGGTGATTCTTTCCGCCCCATACAAAAACGGCATAGAACTTATTGTACCAACAGTGACGGTGATTCCTAATAAATAAGTAGGCGCTCCAAGATCGATTAAATAGAAAAACAAAAAACTTTCGATGAAACCCCACAAATTTCCTAATCCGAATAAGAACACGATGAACAAAATAACGTTCGGCATTTTAACAATATTTGCGAGATCTTTGAATATGTTATCAGCGGGAATCTTGGTTCCAAGCGGCATCAAAAAAACCATCACTGCCGATATCAACAATAGGACATCGTAGGCGTAAAAAGCGGTTGAGTAATCGGTGTAACCGAGACCTTTGCTTCGGTAATCTATAAAAGCACCCGTCACAGGCGAGAATATTGCCATACCAATGCTCGAGAAAAGTTTTTCCTTTCCGAAATCTCCACCGTATTTTTCAATCATCGTCAATGCGATAGGATCCATTATTGTTACTCCAGCTGTCATCATCGTTGAAGCTAAAAATCGCAAACCGAAATAAAGCCAAAACGTTTTATCGTCGGATTCTTTAAATTCGGGAGGGCACATATCTGGACCACCTTCCAGAAAACGACATTTATGCACAATACATTCTCCAGGAAAGACTTCCGTGTTTTCTATAATTATCCCACCACATCTATTTTGTACAAAAAAAAAATATATAAATAATGCAACCAATATCGCAAATCGCGTATTGCAATACCACTACTGTGATATTAGTTGCATACTTAACGATAATTAATTAATACCTAATATCATTTTCGTATAATTCAGTAACATTAACACCATATTTCAAGAGCAAAGTTTCGTTAAAATTTTTGGTGTAATCAGCGGTGTTGTTATCTTGATCCACAGCAACCGGCATCCCCATTTGAAAGGATGGATCCCGAAGTCCCTCGTACATATCGATGTTTAACGAAAGCGTGGTTTCATTTTCAAAAACTTTTTTGTATTTTAATTTCGGAGCGGTGGTTGAGGCATTTGCCGTTGAAGTATTGGCAGGTTTTAAAAGACAACGATTAACACACATGTGAAGTTCGATATTGATGTTCTCCTCGCTGGGGCATTCTCGGCTGGCACAAGGACTCCACCAAACTTCCGTAAAGTTCCTTTCAGGATGTCTCATTACGTAAGCCTTGGGGACGCTCCCGGGCGTTTCTTGGTGAGGGATTAGGAAAAGGGCGTGATGAAGTGCCGCATTTAGTATAAACGCAACTATCACTACCGGTTTGTACTTTCCAAATTTGTCTACGAGAAAACCGGTTACAGATGGCGCCAAAAACGTGGTGCATGGCAATGCTAAGTATATTGCGGAAATTTCTTTTATGGTCAATCCAATACTTTGCATGTGAAGTGTAAGATATGGAAGCAATGAAGATGTGGCTGTGAATATAATAAAATTAAATATTTAAAAAGCAAGTGTTTTGAGTGATTCTTTACCTCCATATAAGAAAAAGAGAGACAGTTTTAACGCGATCAAGTTTTTGTTGATACTAAAGAAGCTTTTCTTCTCCTCTTTGACATCGCTGCTGCCAACCGCTGCATCCGTCATCTCAAGAAAACGACCCCGTAGAAACTAACCGTTGCGATTTTATTTCCTCGACATCCTTCTAAAAACGCTTTATTTGCAGCGGCGAGATAAGGACCAGTACAAATTTACCCACGTCGCATTCATAATAACAATTTCGTTTTATTTAATTAGCGTTGACGTTAATTTTTCTTTTTACTAATCAAAAAAAAATATTCATTGTGACCAAGGGAGATTTTTCACTTGTGTTGCGTAATTTCTACAATTTCATCACGTTTTGTATAATTTACACGTGCACATGACATCTTTATTTATTACTTCATTCTTTCACTATATTTGTGTAAATAGTAATGAATCTTTTTGGCGAGGTTAATTTTTTGAGATAAAGGTATATAATTTGATTTTTATATTAAAAATGATTATTTATAATAATATGTTTATAACATAATTGCCCTATTCAACTCATCTTGTTTTTTTCCTTATCTTTTAATACGTTCAGCAAAATATTTTTATATTAAGATTAAATTTTTTTTCTTTGTTAAAAGAACCCAAATTAAAGGTATAATTTTTTCCATAAAAAAACATAGGCGACGATGGTGTAAGATATAACAGATATTCTACTTTGCCGATCTTCAAAGAGTAATGTTGGTTGCGTATTATGTATATTATCTTTATATACTTTTCGTGAAGAAATTAATAAAAATAATTTAACTAAAAACAATACAGTACTTTCCCCCCTCTTCCCCATTGCCACGAATGTATGATTAATAATAATAATAATAACATATTGCTATACAGGGTGACTTATTACCTCACTATTAAACTTTGACATATGATATCTAATCCAATTACCAAAAAAAAATGTCCTATTTATATAGTTTTTGCAATGAACATGCTCAAAAATCAGTACGAGAAATAATATATAGAGTCCGATTTAAAAAATTGGTCGTGACCTTCATATAACCTTGAAAATAATGGCCCCAGATTCTCGCAGCCACAATTCTCTTTAACACCTTCGAGGTAACATTTAAAATAGTAATAGGTCATAAATCAACCAAAGCATTTGAATTCCATTGGTCAGGATAGACCCCAAATTCCAGACAACAATTAATAATATGACACAAATATGGAACAATAACATTTTTACGCTAATACCATCACATTGAACTGCATTAGACTTCCTCTTCAGAGGCGAGCGAAAAATACAGCCTACTAGAGACCGGAGGCAGTAAATTAGAATTATAGAATTGTATAAGATCTGCATCTAGGGCTATTATTTTGAGAGGATGGGAAAAAATTGAATACGTGAGATAAAATGGTTTTCTTATCATGTTGGAGTGCAATATTGGTGAAGTTACGTAATTGTTTGTAGTAAGTAAAATCAGATAGTGATTTCTTTTATGATTTATGTTATAATCCAACTGATCTCAATGTATAACCCTTCGCGACCACTTGAAGTAGGTGTTTGTGTCAAGTTTTATAAGAACATATGCAGTGTCCACCAAAAAAGGCAGCAACACCCTGTTTTTCTTGATATTGTTTGTTGATTTCTTTTATTAATACTAATATTAATTATTAGATATTATATTATTAGATATATATTTTAATAATATTAATTATTAAAATTTCTCGTAATTTTCTTCATCTTTAATAATTTTTTTCTAGAAATTTCAATAATATTATCTTATAATTTTTACATCATATCATAAACAAGAATCATTAAGCTACAATTTAACATTTTTTTGACAATTTCGTCTTTAATATTATTATTTTTTTCCTGGAAATTTCAATATCATATAATTTTTACATGATATCATAAACTAGAATCATTAAGCTGCAATTTAACATACATATCATATCAACGTTCTTAAAAATACAGACGATGTGATTTTTTGAAAATTTGTCGTTATATTTGGTTTATAAATTTGATAATTTCTATAATATTACCTTTTAATTTTTACATCATATCATAAACTAGAATCACTAAGCTACAATTTAACATACATATCATATCAAGATTCTCAAAATTATGGTCGATATGATTTTTTGAAAATTTCACGTAATTTTTGACAATTTCGTCTCTAATACTACTAATTTTTTCGTGGAAATTTCAATAATATCATATAATTTTTACATCATATCATAAACTAGAATCACTAAGCTACAATTTAACATACATATCATATCAAGATTCTTAAAAACACAAATAGTATGATATTTTGAAAATTTCGCATTGTTTGATTCAAAAATTTGATAATTTCTTCTTTAATATTTTTTTCCTGGGAATTTCAATAATATTACCTTATAATTTTTATATCATACCATAAACTAGAATCTTCAAGGTACAATTTAACATACATATCATATAAAAATTCTTAAAAATACAGTCGATATGATTTTTTGAAAATTTCGTTTTATTTTTGATTTATAAATTTGACAATTTTTTCATTAATAATTTTTTCCTGAAAATTTCAATAATATTACCTTATAATTTTTACATCATATCATAAACTAGAATCAGTAAGGTACAATTTAACATACATATCATATCAAGATTCTTCAAAATACAGTCGATATGATTTTTTGAAAATTTCGTTTTATTTTTGATTTATAAATTTGACAATTTTTTCATTAATAATTTTTTCCTGGAAATTTCAATAATATTACCTTATAATTTTTACATCATATCATAAACTAGAATCATGAAGCTACAATTTAATATACATATATCAAGATTCTTAAAAATATAATCGATATGATTTTTTGAAAATTTCTCGTCATTTTTGACAACTTCATCTTTAATAATTTTTTCCTGGAAATTTCAATAATATTATCTTATAACTTTTACATCATATCATAAACTAGAATCATTAAGCTATAATTTAACATACATATCATATAAAGATTCTTAAGAACACGGTCGATATGATTTTTTTAAAACTTCGCATTATTTTTGATTTATAAATTTAACAATTTCTTCTTTAATAATTTTTGCCTGAAAATTTCAATAATATTATCTTATAATTTTTACATCATATAATAAATTAGAATCATTAAGCTACAATTTAACATACATATCATATCAAGATTCTTAAAAATATAGTCGATATGATTTTTTGAAAATATCTCGTAATTNCATATCAAGATTCTCAAAATTATGGTCGATATGATTTTTTGAAAATTTCTCGTAATTTTTGACAATTTCGTCTCTAATACTACTAATTTTTTCGTGGAAATTTCAATAATATCATATAATTTTTACATCATATCATAAACTAGAATCACTAAGCTACAATTTAACATACATATCATATCAAGATTCTCAAAATTATGGTCGATATGATTTTTTGAAAATTTCTCGTAATTTTTGACAATTTCGTCTCTAATACTACTAATTTTTTCGTGGAAATTTCAATAATATCATATAATTTTTACATCATATCATAAACTAGAATCACTAAGCTACAATTTAACATACATATCATATCAAGATTCTCAAAATTATGGTCGATATGATTTTTTGAAAATTTCTCGTAATTTTTGACAATTTCGTCTCTAATACTACTAATTTTTTCGTGGAAATTTCAATAATATCATATAATTTTTACATCATATCATAAACTAGAATCACTAAGCTACAATTTAACATACATATCATATCAAGATTCTCAAAATTATGGTCGATATGATTTTTTGAAAATTTCTCGTAATTTTTGACAATTTCGTCTCTAATACTACTAATTTTTTCGTGGAAATTTCAATAATATCATATAATTTTTACATCATATCATAAACTAGAATCACTAAGCTACAATTTAACATACATATCATATCAAGATTCTCAAAATTATGGTCGATATGATTTTTTGAAAATTTCTCGTAATTTTTGACAATTTCGTCTCTAATACTACTAATTTTTTCGTGGAAATTTCAATAATATCATATAATTTTTACATCATATCATAAACTAGAATCACTAAGCTACAATTTAACATACATATCATATCAAGATTCTCAAAATTATGGTCGATATGATTTTTTGAAAATTTCTCGTAATTTTTGACAATTTCGTCTCTAATACTACTAATTTTTTCGTGGAAATTTCAATAATATCATATAATTTTTACATCATATCATAAACTAGAATCACTAAGCTACAATTTAACATACATATCATATCAAGATTCTCAAAATTATGGTCGATATGATTTTTTGAAAATTTCTCGTAATTTTTGACAATTTCGTCTCTAATACTACTAATTTTTTCGTGGAAATTTCAATAATATCATATAATTTTTACATCATATCATAAACTAGAATCACTAAGCTACAATTTAACATACATATCATATCAAGATTCTCAAAATTATGGTCGATATGATTTTTTGAAAATTTCTCGTAATTTTTGACAATTTCGTCTCTAATACTACTAATTTTTTCGTGGAAATTTCAATAATATCATATAATTTTTACATCATATCATAAACTAGAATCACTAAGCTACAATTTAACATACATATCATATCAAGATTCTCAAAATTATGGTCGATATGATTTTTTGAAAATTTCTCGTAATTTTTGACAATTTCGTCTCTAATACTACTAATTTTTTCGTGGAAATTTCAATAATATCATATAATTTTTACATCATATCATAAACTAGAATCACTAAGCTACAATTTAACATACATATCATATCAAGATTCTCAAAATTATGGTCGATATGATTTTTTGAAAATTTCTCGTAATTTTTGACAATTTCGTCTCTAATACTACTAATTTTTTCGTGGAAATTTCAATAATATCATATAATTTTTACATCATATCATAAACTAGAATCACTAAGCTACAATTTAACATACATATCATATCAAGATTCTCAAAATTATGGTCGATATGATTTTTTGAAAATTTCTCGTAATTTTTGACAATTTCGTCTCTAATACTACTAATTTTTTCGTGGAAATTTCAATAATATCATATAATTTTTACATCATATCATAAACTAGAATCACTAAGCTACAATTTAACATACATATCATATCAAGATTCTCAAAATTATG